TTATGAAAAAAAAATACTTCAAGAAGTAATTTGAGAGTAAAGAAACAATAGATCGATGACCTTTCAAAGATAACCTGGAGAGTAGAAGAAGAATGTGTGTATTCCTGTGTATTACTGTGTGTTTCTATATGCTGGCTGCATGTGTGTGCGTGAATGACACACAGAAGACGGCAGTCATCAGTCTTCATGGAGACGGCTCCAGCTAAGGCCTCTGACTTACACAGGCCGCTTTGCTTAAAGCAGGTCCAACAGGCAAAGGTTCCCTTCACATTCTGACCTGCTGAGCCAAACCTGTGAGAACCAGGAAAATGATGCTGTCATTGTGAGCACCTGGAGGCTTTAAGGAACTCGTTGGTGCTTTTTATTTCTAAATCGAGCCAGATATGTGCCAACGGGAGCTATTTAAAAACATTAAACGTTTTTGGTCTCTTCTAGTTTTCTGTCAGATTTTAATACTGATTTTCAATCATTCAAAAGTTGAAGGAAAGGTTTGATTCTAAAGATCACAGCTCAAAATCTAAAAGCTGAAGTGCATTGATAATTACATTAGCTGAAAGAGGACAAGTGTTCTTACTTTTTACGGAATATTTTTTATTTGAATGGTTGAAGGATGTGGAAAAAATCTGAATATAATAACCAAACGCCTTGAGACCCTTTTAAAAGTTAAATGGTGTTTATAGCTTAAAGAAAGATGAAGCAGATAGATTTGAAGTAGGTCAAACATTTTAAAGGATTTGAAGGCTCCGCTATTCATTTTCAATGAGAGGAAAAAGTCAGAAAAAGTTTCATCATTCAAAAAGTTGATAAGACTTTAACACCAAGAGACACAGCCACAATGTTCGAATAAAGCTGAACAATTTGATACCTTAATGGTTTAAATCGGTTGAAGTATGCGGAAGTAGTTAAATGCTGAAAAGTGTACAGAATAGCAATAATAATGAAAACTAGAAAATTTCTAAAGAAATTTTGAGGGGGGCCACCTACTGCCCGTCCAGGATTCTGGCTTCCTGAGGCCCTCAAAAGGGGCCTGGCAGGTTGGCCAATTGATATTTGGGTTCTCTGTAATATGGGCTTGCGCCTATGAGATGGCCTGAAGGAGACCCACCGAGCTGGAGGGACCTGGCTGAGCTCAGGGAACCGCTGACCAAATACCGATGGGGTGGGCAGGACGGGGTTCACATTGGCTGAAAGCTGAGAAAAAGACCTACGCAACGAGGTATTACGTGGTTGAGTCCGGCCCCGGTTCGGTCCCGACCCAGTTGGGTCCGATCCCCAGAACCAGAACCAGAACCAGAATCTGACTAAAGTCCTCTAAGCGGGCTTAAAAAATCACTGAGCGGGCTTCGCCCGCCTGGTACCAGAACCAATGTATTACTTAAAAAAATCGGAAGTAGAGAGAGGAACTCTGTGTGTGTGTGTGCTAACAAACCATTGTGCCATGGATTGGTTTAGCTAGCTGTCAATCATCATAACAGAGACGGGGGAACAGTCCTGTCTGATCAAGTGCAATGACTCAGAGCCCTGGAGGCCACTGTTGTGACTCACTTTCAAACTCATCTCTATAGCAACAGCAGTCTGGCCCAACAGCTATCAATCATTAAGCTGCAGGTCTGACAATGACTAAGCTCTTTGTCAACTGACACTTTTCATCAAAAGTTGACCCCGAACTCCTGCCCGCTGTTCAAAAACTTAAGGAGCTGGCTCAGTAATTTTCTAAATGTGAGCGCCACGAGGGTCGCAGGGCTCAGCCTGTGTATTTTATATTCGGCTGCTCCCACCGGTTATTTTTTTATGGCAATTTCAAAATGAGGTCCGATTAGGCATTTGGTCCTACTTTCTCTCCTTTCTTCCGTTGAAATCCTATGGGAGAGAGTCGTGAAAGTCTGGACTTTGTGCCCGATTGCCGGAAAACCGTAAGGCCGAGGTCAAAAGTGGGCACATCGGCCGAAAGGGACCCCCGCAGCTACGTTTTGAGCCATTTTGGCGCCACTCAGCCAAAGAGTGAGAGAGGCCAGAA